ATGGACGGTTAATCTTTGAAAAACTAGCCATGGCCATACATGCCTGGATCTGGCCCTGGTCACTGTGAGGTCTGAGGCCCAAACTGACCAATAGGCTTCCCAGGAACACTCACTCTCCTTGAGCTTAGAGAACAAAGAATCTTTAGACAGAGCCTTGTGGAACTTGGTGGAGAAAGGAAAGCCTCTTAACCAATGACGCTGGGAAACATGGTGGGGTGAGGGGGGCACATGCAAGAAAATGAAACTAGATCCATGATTAACTCCATAGAAAAATTAGTTCAAACTTCATTAAAGACCTGGATATAAGATCTGAAAGTGTAAAGTACTTACAAGAAAACATAGGCAATACACGCGTGGATATCACCCTCAGATATTTGGGGGTGCAGCTTGAAAGGCAAGAGAAACAAAAGTAAAAATAAACTAGTGGGGCTACATCAAACTGAAAGCTTTTGTACTGCAAAAGAAACCACCACCACAACAAAAAGGCTACCCACAGACCTTAGGCAGCATCACACACCTGAGAAGGGACTAACTTGCAACAGCCCAATCAAAACTGGGCAAGAGGCCTAAGTAGGCTTTTTCTACAGAAGCTAGCCGGATGGTCTACAGACATATGAAACATTGTTGAATGGCACTTATTATAAGGGAATGCAAATCCAAGCCACAGTGACATACCACCTGCCCCCTGTGAGAAGGGCCTAGACGCTGGGAACAACACATGTTGGCAAGAATATGGGCAAAACGAAACTTTTACCCACTGTTGGTGGGAATGCAAGTTGGTGCAGCCTCTATGGGAAACAGTATGGAGAAGCCCTCCCTGATGGCACAAGGGGTTAAAGCACAGCACTATGAAGCTATACGCAGCCACTGTAGCATGAGTTCAATCCCCAGCCCAGGAGGTGACCTACATGAGCCAGCAGAACTCTCCTGACCCACTCGCTGAACCTCTCAGAAGTGTATCTCAGTAGATCTGCCTGTTCTGCTCCCCACTCATACCTCTGGCCTGCACCCCAGTTCTTCTATGCAAAGGAAGGAGGAGGAGGAGGGGAGGAGAAGGAGAAAGAAATTTCCTAAGAAAATAAAAACCAAAATCCCATGTGACCCAACAGCTCCTCTGGTGGGTATTTATCCAAAGAATACAAGAATGCTAACACCCGTCTACAGCAGCGTTGCCCACAAATGCCAAGTGATGGATCCAACTTAGGTGCCCATCAACAAGGACTCAATAAAGAAACTGGAATTTCTACTCAATGAAATACTACTCAGCTAAGTAACGAGATGAAATAGTTCCTTTTGAGACAAAGTGGATGAAACTTGAGGTGTTTATTGCTAACTTGGTTGATGGGAAATAAATCAGATATGGGATAGTTTCACCTACCTGAGGAATATAAATAACCAAAATACAGCAAAAGCAAATCTCAGACTCAGTGAAAATTTACTGATCACCAGTGAGAACAGGGGAGGCAGAAGGGGCTAGGCAAAGAATGGGGCCAGAGCACAGGCATAGGCAGTTAGCTGGAGGGTGACTAAGCCTATAATGAGGAGCAAAAATGTAACCCTAAAGTTAGGCATGTAATTTTTCGAAAACCCCCTATGTTTTAAGAGCGCCTTTCATTTTCCAAAGCGACTTTACACTTTACCTCCATGTGAGGTAAGCGGGTCAAGTCCTCAGAGCTCAGCTTTGCACAGGAGAATACTGAGGCCCACAGAGAGCAGGCGAACCCCCAGTCTCCCCGCTCGTGTTTGGTAAACCCAGGATGGGTTTCCTGAGTCCTTTTTTCCACACACGACGCTGTCATCCTCAACACCAGAGTAAAATGTTCTCGCCGATGTACTTTATTACCAATCCAAAACACACCAAGACTCAGCTGTCCAAATATTTTTCAGTCCTGGGCTTTTGGATGAAAGTGATTTGGTTCAAACTTGTCCCAAACAAAATGAAAATGTGAGGACAGGCGTTCCAGGATGGGAGGAAGGGATGTAGAAATCCCCGATATTAAGGAACTCTTGTCTCCTGTGAAGGAGAGGAGTGCCTAGCATTCTAATTGTCCCTAACGTTCAAGGGTGAAGGTCTCAGGCCAAAACAGAAATGTCACCAAGTGCCCTTTTTTTAGGGAAAGGGCAAAGTGCATATTTTTTGCCAGGAGGTGGCGACAGAGGAATAAGACTAATGAGGCAGAATATTTAAGTGCACAAATCATAAATGTTTTGAACGTGTAGATCCTCTCACCCAATCTCCTAGGATTATTCACAACGAATTAAGGTTCACAAAGGGTATGTGTAGTCCTCAAGGTCACACACCTGATGAACGGCTGAGCCACATGGAGCTCAGCTCTCACCATTACATCAGAAGGTACAGAAGCACAGGCTGCCTTTAAAATAACCTGGTGTCTTAATCATGTGGAGAAAAAAACTCACTTTTTGAGAGCATTATTAATTCTAGCATGAAAGAAACGACCTAGGTGATTACACCCTAAACTCCCATCCTGGGTGCTAGCTGGTGCCAGTAGGGGAAGGGGCAGAGGGTAACAGCCTTTCTGCCATGAGGCCTCCCAACAGGTTGGTGCTGCCTGTGAGCCCCCCCCCCAGCCCACCAAGATGCCCCAAAAGAGATCACAGACCGTGGGGTAAGAGTCTCCCTTTTGACCAGCCCATGAAGGGCACTAAACATGTGCTGTGGGCCCTCTCTGGTGGCGCAACAGGTTAAAGCACCGCACTATGAAGCTCTCCAAAGCCACTGCAGCATGAGCTTGATCCCCGCCTGCCCCGGAGCTGACCCACATGGCGCAGCAGACCTCTCCTGACCTGCCTGCTGCTCTCTTCAGCAGTGTACTTTGTCAACCTGCCTGTTTTGCTTCCCACTCTATCCCTGTGAATCCTCTCACCCACCGCACCTCTGGCCTGTACCCCAGTTCTGTATGAATAAATAAATAAATCTTTAAAAAAAACGTGCTTACAGCGCAGGATAAAAAGCAGAACAGAAGGTACGAGCACTGTCTGCTCCCGGACAGGGCCGGATGTGTTCTGTGGCATTCTACAGAACAGAACCAAACCGGTGGGTGAGAAACTTGAAATTTAGTGGGTGCTAAATTTCAAGTGGGGATAGATGGACGGACAGGCAGATGTGGACAGACAGATGGACAGAGGAGGGAGATTTCAGATCAATACAGTGAAATTTGTTCTCATGGCCTCAGAGGTCCCAGAAGAAAGGCACTGCTCTGCTTGCTTCTGTAGTGAATCCCCACACTGGACGTAACCCAGCGAGGTCTTCACTCGCTCCGGATGTTAAGAAGTGAGCAGGGGGGTTGGTCTGGATTGAAAGAGCTTCGGGGAGCTCTTTGAGTCCCAGGTTTCTGATTAGTCCATGGTTCTTGGGTCCCCGATGAAAGAGACAGAAGGACAGAGATGTTTTTGTATTTTCATTTCAGTACTTTAAATGAGAAAACTGCACTAATTTCAGGTTGTCGACATCCCAAGACTGCTCCCAGCTCCTTTACTGAAATTCAGCCGCTCTGGGAAACCTCATCCTGGCAGCTCACTGGGGAAGCTTTTGCTGGTTTCTTTTAAGTAACAAATTATTTCTCTTTAATTTTGAAAATCAGGGGAGCTGGACTTGTGGAAACCTGGATTAACCTTTTAGGTGCAGGAGAGTATAGAGCCAGGCCTGGTGCAAGACTAGATCAGGGTTGACAGGTGGCAGAACCAGCAGCATCCCACAGGGCACAACAGTGAGTACCAGAAAGGCAGGGGGAGAGGGGACCAAAAAAAGCCAGAAGAGTGAGATGCCCCGTTTATAGCAATGCCCTTCAACTTTTCTGCCATGTGACACCCGGCTTTGACTTCCTCCACTCCCCCTTCCTTCTGCAAAGTGGCGTTCATGTCCTTCCAGCACAGAGTCTGGGTGGCTGTTTACCACATTAAGTCTTTGAAACTCCAACAACAAAGCCAGTTTCTGGTTCTTGGTCTGAGGACAGATTTTACTGGTGGTTGAGATCTCTTGGCCTGACTTCCTTCCCCTCCCGAGTTCTCTAGCTGTGAAATACCCTCCAACACCCAAAGTGAGGCTTCTAAATGATGTGAGGAAGTGGGATGAGCAAGCTGGCTTTTAATGGGAAGATGAAATCATGTGTTTTGCAAATTGGAAAAATGAACAAACCAGGAGAAAGCTCCCTGCAGCCAAGAGGCTGGGCTGGGTGCACCCCCTGCAGGGAGCCCATTTACAGGCCTCTTGAAAGGCTGAGACTCACTTCCGGTGCTGTAAGTGCAGCTCTGCCTTTGAAACTCACTGCCCTTACAAATCTAAAAGGATTCATATTATCGTCTTTATTTCCTTTAATGATGCATTTGTGAATTCAGCTCCCATGTAGAACGGCTGTAAAGGTATCAATACCTCAAGGCTGAAAGGCCCATGCACAACCTCTCAACAAACAAGTCTTCACAGCTTCGCCTCTCTTCCGGACTGCCAAGGCAGGGGCTGGGTTCTCAGCCATCTCTGCAGCTCCTTGCTCTTGTCTCTTCCCCTCCAGCCCATAGGGCCTCCCACCACAAGGCCCCTGGCCTTGCGCCCCTTTGCTAATACACAGAACCTGCAGCGCTGGGCAGGGTGGGGATTTTTATGAGTATCCAGGTGCAGGCACTGACCTCAAGACCTTCCGGATTTTACGGAGGGATCGTTTACCCTGGTGAAATGTTTCATAATTCCAGATGAGGACAGTAAGGCACAGATAGAATACGTTAACAGGCGGTAGTGGACAGAACCCAACTCCTCTGACTTCAAATCTCCCTGAGCCCCCAGCAGAGTCTGTGCCTTTACTAAGCTGTCAGTAACTATGAATTTATTCTTATTTTCTTCACATGGGGGTGGTGTGGAGAAGAGGCGAGTTAACAGTAAGCCAAGTCCCCTGAACTGGGTGTGAATATCCATTATGTTCCCATCCCTAGGGTAAGGCCAGATGCTTCCTGTTCTTCTAAGTCACCAAAAGTTTTACTGCTCTTTCCAGGATTTGTTCCAAAAGAAGAATTAAGCACAGAGGCTTTGGAGCCAGTATCCCAGGGAGACCCAAGTAAGTTAATTGACAACCAGAATCCCCAGAGACTTTGACATCTGATCTGCTCTCTCTCCTCTCTACCCACTCACTCCCACCCAAATCTGCCTCTCTTCTACCCTGAATCTATTTATCTCTTCTCTTCTGTCACTTTGTCTAAGCAAAAGGGAAGCTTTGGAAGGATTTAAACTGTCTTTGTTCATGAGGGGGAGAGGATCTGATTTTTAAAACATCACTATGGCAACAGGGTGAAGAATGGGATGAAATGGGACGACAGGGTGGATGAAAAGAGTCCTGTTGGCCAGCAGGGACAGTGACCAGTGGTGATGATGGTAAATGGAGCTCAGAGTTGGACACAGCGATGGAGAAAAACAGATTCAAGAGATGGAAAAGGAAGAATCTAGAAAGATGGAGGCATAGGTGTGAGAGGAAATACTTAAAAGATGACTTGAGTAGGGTAAATGGGGAGGGGCAGGGAGGTCAGGGAGATTGTGTATGTCTATCATATTCTGTAAACACTGGGTCTACTGGAGAGTTGACTAGCCAAAGGATGAACATTCAGAAGCAGCAGCCCAGCTGGAAATTAGAATCAGAAGACTATGAGCTCTGGTTTGAAACCAAAGCTACCTGGAAACTGCCCCAGGGAGCAGGACAGGGTGAGAAGAAACAAAGGACTTACACCTGAAGAACTTCAACACTCCTAGGTGGAGGAGAAGTCACCTGAGGATGACAGAAAGGAGGACCAAAGAAATAGAGGCGAACCAGGAGATGCTGTGCCCTGCCAGCCGGGAGAGCATCCGTAAGTCCCCCATCTCGCCAACGTCACCACGTCAGTCACGACTGGGCTGTGAGTTGCAACCCAGCTGTACGGGAGGGTCATCTGACGAGATCTTTTTGATTAAAGTTGGCAATTCCTGCCTCATATCTACTGCTGACTCTCCCTTGACCTCGCTACTCCAAGTACATATAAGGGCCAGCAGCAGCAGCCTTAGCTGAGAGCACATTAGAAATGCAGAATTCCGGGCCCTCCCTGGTGGCGCAGCACTTTAACCAGCACAGCACTAAGAAGCTTTCAGCCACTACAGCACAAGTTCGAGCCCTGGCCAGGGAGCTGACCCATGGGGTGGCAGACCTCTCCTGACCAGCCAGCTGCTCCCCTCAGCAATGTATTTCAGTCAGACCTCCTTTACTGCTCCCTACTCTGTCTCTGGTGAATCCTCACACCCCCATACCTCTGGCCTGTACCCCAGTTCTGTACACATAAATAGATAAATCTTTTTTAAAAAAGATAAGAAATGCAGAATTGTATCCCTGCCCCGCAAAATCAAGTGATGCTTTTGAACATTAATACGCGAAAGCACAACCTGGAATGACTCCCAGGCTTCGTTATTGGTTGAAGCTGCATAAGCAACTGTGAAATATGTCCAGTTTTTGGATACTGGACAAAAGCATAACTCTATAAAACTGTACCATGTTGAAGAAAACCAAAGCAATTATGAAAATTGGTAAAATGGCACAGCAGATACTATATCTCACCTTTTCTTCCTCATCCTCCAGCCGCTATCTCTGTGACTATAACAAGGTGCTCAAGCTTGAACATTTCATTACCCGGTTCTATTCTTCAGAATTGATGTTTTCATCTCAAATGAAAGTCACTAGATCTCAGTGAGCACGTGTCTTCAGCACATGTCCTCAAAACCTAGCTATGAAATGAACAAATCAATCCAGTCTGAGATAGAAGAAATGAGAAAAACGAAGTCTATGAAGAACCAAAATCGAGATGCCAAAATCCACGTACTTTATTCACTTATAAAAAAAATCTTCTTTGGGCCCTCCCTGGTGGTGCAGCGGGTAAAGCACTGCACTGAGAAACTAAAGCCACTTCAGCATAAATTCGATCCCCGCCTGCTCTGGAGGAGACCACATGGCCCAGCAGACCTCTCCTGACCCGCCCGCTGCTCCCCTCAGCAGTGTACTTCGTCAATCTGCCTGTCCTGCTCCCCACTCTGTCTCTGGTAAAGCCTCTCACCGTCCCTGCACCTCTGGCCTGTACCCCAGTTCTGTATGAACAAACAAATAAATCTTTAAAAAAAAAAAAGGAAAGAAAGAAAAGAAAATCTTCTTTGGCCCTTATTCTAGTAAAGTGTTGTCTCCCAAAAAAAAATCATCTAAAAGGCATATTATATTGAACAAATCTACTGTCATCTAAAAGGAAAAGCCCTCTTTGGGAGTGGTTTCTCAAACTTCAGTGTTCACAGAGTCAGTTGAAGATCTTGTGAAACGTGGATCTGACTCCACAGGTGTGAGTGAAGCCTGGGAGTCGGCATTTCTAGCAAACCTGTGGGTGGCACGCCCTAAAGAACACCACTGCCACCTGCTGTCGACTGTGCACATTGCAAGCCCAGACGCGGGGAAAGGAGTTGGCCCTGTTCGGCGTGGGTCATGACAAGATATAGGATAATTCTGCTTCTCTCTTCCTTTATCCCCGCTTTTAGTGGCATCTTTAGACCCCACTTGTTGATTTTACTTGCTTCTTTCCATCTTCATCTCAAGGATCATCCCCGGACATCAGTTGTGGGCCACAACTGAGTGGGAAGTGTTGGCAAGCACTGAAAGTCTAACTAGACCAGAGATAATTGCTTGCAAGATCCACTAAGGAGCCAAAGCACAAACCAGCGCCCTAATTCCAAAGGGATCAGACTCAACCTGGTGCAGGGAAGGCCCTGTCATCGCCTGCTTCCTCTGTGGCTCCCAGAGCCATGCTCTGCTACAAGATCATAAGCACATACTAAAAGTGGACTTTTCTCCTTAATCTACCAATCGTGCATCATCACCCTTTAATAATTCTCCAGCTTAAAACTGTGCCAACTCATGTCCATTTCTTGCTTTCACCTAAAAGCAAATCCCTCCCTGCCTACATGGCTGCTCCTGGCAATTGAAATAGTCCGGTCACGCAGAAGCACTGCAGGATCAGTGTGGAGAACGCCAGCCATCTTGGGCAATCACAGCCGTTTAGAGAAATCCAGGCCTGTCTGGGCAGCTGTACCCCACCCACCAAGGGCAGCCTCTGACCCTCATCTCCTCTGGGTGCTCCAGTCCAGAAATTCTTAAGTTTACTCTCTCTTTTCTTACTGCGACTCTGTTTTGAAGTATTTTTATCTCCCAAATTGCAGTTATTCAATAATTCATGCTTCATTTTTCATTCATCAAAGGAGTATAGACCTCCCAACAAGAACTTCTGATCAGCATTGAATAATCCATTTTATCACACTTGAGATGATTATTAATTTCATTCTAGGGCAAAGAATATTAACTTCTATTAACCTGTGTGGCTTTCCACCGATTTCTATTAACATTTGAAAGGTTAATGATAAGTTTTCACCCGCCATCCTATTCCCCCAAATCAATCGTAACTTTCCTATATTTGCAGAGCTCTGGAGATCCTAAACGGAACAACTAGCCTAGCCCTAGATGTTCCCAACAAGTAAAACAAAGGGTGGAATTCCAGACAGCTACAAACAAGTCTTTATATCCTGTAGAGATAAGTGGACCATTTCCCTGGTTGCCTCAACAGGGAAAAAGCTTGAGATAATTTCTCATTGCACAACTGTGCCCTCAGCACAGGCCTTTCCAATTCTTTCACATATGAATAAAGAGCTAATACATAATTCTAAGTAGTTAAGATGAGAGTAAAAGACCCCAAGTTCTTAAGACTCAATCTCAGTGGATTCCCCCATCTGAAGTCTGCACTTCAGTGATCTGAGGGCTTTTCCAAACCTGCCTGGATGGTTTTTACCTCTGAAACCTGCAATTGTGGCTGATACGTGGAGTAATAAAATAGCTATGGAGGTAAAATAAGGTAATAGCTCAAGTGCCCTGGACCTCAGTCCCAGGGACAATCTGTTGTGGATATAAGTGAATATACCCTGCATCTTGCTACTTCCTCTTTCTTTTCATTGGAATCTCAGGGGATTCTGACAGAGGAAGGGAAGAGCAAGAGAATGTTCAGGGGAATATAAGGGGAGATCATCAGGATAACAAGTTCTTTTCCATTTCTCAGACTGTAAAGTTGACCTGTTGTTTTTAATTGATGGGAGCTCAAGCATCGGCAGACGTCGGTTCCGAATCCAGAAGCAGTTTCTGGTAGATGTTGCCCAAGCTCTGGACATCGGCCCTGCAGGCCCACTGATGGGTGTGGTTCAGTATGGGTAAGTGCTGCTCTGAATCTAGAAACCAAGTGATGTCACACTCTTATTTCATACCACAAGTACCACTAAACATATGTTAGAACACCGATGCATTCTTTTTTTCATACCAATATAAATGAAAGAAACTGAAGCAAGAAAGGTTAATAAAATCTTGCAAGTAAATGGTATTTACCTTCATGATTGGTAAAGAAAATATTTATTTCATGATTAGGAGAGCTAGGTTTAAGAATTAACTCAGCCATTATGAGCTATGTGACCTTGGGTCAGGCCTTACCCTTGCTCCCTGTTGGTTTCCTCATTTGTAGGTCAGGAAGGTGGAATAATGTCTGTGGAAGGTGTTCGACAATGGTCTAGCTTCATCCTTTTGCATGTGGCAGTCCAGTTTTCCCAACATCATTCATTGAAGAGACTTTCCTTGCTCCATTGTATGTTCTTGTCTCCTTTGTCGCAAATTAGTTTTTCATATATGTGTGGGTTTATGTCTGGGACCTCAATTCCATTTCATTGACATGTGTTTGTTTTCAGTCGAATACCATACAGTTTTGAGTTCTGTCATTTTGAAGTCAGGAGTGGGACAACTCCATTTATTCTTTTTTCCTCAGGATGGTTTTGGCTGCTCTTGGCCTTTTATAATTGTGATTAAAATCTAGATTTTTGCTGTTGTTGTTGCTATTCTATTGCTGTGAAGAATGTCATTAAAATTTTGATAGACTAGGGCCCTCCCTGGTGGAGCAACAGGTTAAAATGCAGCACTGCAGGCTAGCTGCAGCCACTTCAGTGGGAGTTTGATCCCTGCCTGCCCCGGAGGTGCAGCAGACCTCTCCTGCCTCGCCCACCGCTCCCCTCAGCAGTGTACTTCATCAATCTGCCTGCTCTCCTTCCCACTCTGTCTCTGATGAATCTTCTCATCACCCCTGTACCTCTGGCCTGTACCCCAGTTCTTGTATGCATAAATAAAAAATCTTAGAATGAAATTTTTTTTGATAGACTATACCCCAAAGTACTAGTTCAGGAGGGCTAACTAGGTAAAAGGGGTAAATTGTATGGCTGAGGATGGAATCAGAATTTCAGTGATGAATTTAATGTAGTATATACACAATGTTGACTTACAATGATGTACATTTTAACCTATATATTATAAACCAGTGTTATTGCAATGAAAATAATAGGGGGGGTAATGTCATCATGATTTAATTTTTTTTAAGTGGGTCCTCCCTAGTGGCACAGTGGGTTAGAGCGCAGCACAGCAAGCTAGCCGCAGCCGCTTCAGTGTGAGTTTGATCCCTGCCTGCCCCAGAAGTGACCCACATGGCAAAGCAGATCTCTCCTGCCTCGCCTGCTGCTCCCCTCAGCAGTGTGTTTTGTTGATCTGCCTGCTCTCCTTCCCACTCTGTCTCTGGTGAGTCCTCTCACCACCCATGCACCTCTAGCCTGTACCCCAGTTCTTGTATGCATAAATAAATCTTAAAAAAAAAAAGTGGGTCCCTTTTGCCATGACACCTCAGCAAGCATTAGTTTGAGGAGCATACTGTGCTCCCTCCTATCCTGGGAAGACACCTGGAGAATGCAGTGCTTTAGGCTGATCTTTCTCTTTTCTCTGGATTACTTTAGACCTCTGCACTGCTAAAAAAAAAAAAAAAAAAAAAATGTAGCCAGACAGTGGGGATAGTGGAGGTGGAAAACATCAGTCAGCTGCACCCCCAGGTGCTGTCCCAGACTGTTTTATTATTTTACGTAAGGGAAAAATTAAGAGCTCATGTTGACATCCAATCTGTATCTTTTATTTGGTTAAATAGGCCAATCTTATTGCAGATATAAATAGGGTTCTCCCTACTGACAGCTATCAAAGAAGCAAGCAAGTCCAAATCTTGAATAATTTTTTTATGACCAAAAACCATAAAGGGCAGGATACTTATCTCCCTTTCCACAAGGACCTTCAGATACAACACGACCCTTCCTGCAGGGCTGCTCCACAGCTTAACCCTGGAAATGGGTCACTACATAGACCTTGGGCTTCTCACTCAGAAGCCACAAACCTTTTCTGCCCCTCTTGAGAAGTCACAACATTCATACCTGCCAATATCCAGCGAGTTCTCTGGGCCTTTCAAACATTTCCCAAAGCCTCCTGGAACAGCATTTTAACCGAAGTTGAATTTCGAAGACATAGGATATTTTTGAGCTGTCAAAAGAAATAATCAAAAATGCCTAATGTTCATCAGACCCTATAACACTAAATTCAATAACACATTTAGTAGTACCACCCTAGCAGGGAAAATCAGCCGACGAGTTAACTGCCTCTTCTGTGGAGTCAGAGTCCAAGACATGAAAACAACCTGTTGCTGCGAGTGCCAAGGTCAAATGATCTAGCCTAAGGATTTTAACTGAAAATGATAAAAGAATTTATTTTGGCCCTTGCTTCCTTGTTTTCAAAATGTCAACCTGTCTTGGTTCCAGTGTTACTTTGTAAAGATTGCTAATAGATAACAGACCCCTCCCCAGAGGAGTGATAAGCTTTCTAGTGCCAGATGTCCCCAGTCCGTTTTATGGGGGGATTCAAAGCTTGGTGTGTCATCTTGCATTAAAAGTAGCTGCTTTGAAGGCTGTGTATACCAAGCTTTATAGTATAATTTGAACACAGTGTGATAAATATGTCTAAAAAGAAAAAAAGAAAAGAAAAATGGCAGGAGAGTAGAGCTGTGTGCTGATGAGAACATGGATTAAAAACAAATGTAGCAAGGAAGGAACAACAATCCAACAAAGATTCCTTCCCCTTTAAAAATCATTTTCCCCATGTTTTCCTAACCTTGTGCAGGAAGGGATTCACCTGCATGACGTCCAGTTTCACTTTCTGAAAATGCCTTTGCTTTTTGTCTTTTTTCCCACCCAGGATCCTCACTAACTTGGAGCGCGTAAGGCAACGTGTCTGTCTCCCTGCACTATATGCTCGTGCAAGCTGATCTATCATCCTCACCCTCGCTGGCACAGGGTGGGGTGGGAAGCACGATGAACTGCTGATGAATTCAGGCTTTAGCTTTGCTGTATGACCTTAAGCAAGTCACTTAACCTCTCCGTGTAAATGCTACCACCTATAAAGTGCAGGAGGCGGGCTGGATGATTCCTAAGAGCTCTATCAGCCTCGAAGTCCTGTAATTCCGTGGCTGGCCCTGTACTTGCAAAGCAATAAATGAAGGTTGGGCTAACAGACCAGATGAACCCCTCTCCTTTCTTCCAGCCTCCGGTTCCGACTAGGTGGAATGATCAATAATGACATGATTGGGTTAGGCACCCACTGCCATGGAGCAGGTGCGTTGGCTTTAGGAATGTGTGATGGCGCCAAAAGGGACTCCGCCTACCAGCTGCAATTGCTTTTGATTTCAGCCGCCCGGCTTCCTTGCCTGGGTGACTGGCTTTCATCCTGCCTGAACGGAACGGTGGTAGCACGTGTGGATTAAAGAACGGAGAGCCAACGGGCCAGAGCAGAGTAAGGAGGCAGAGCTAGAGGCAGGTGCGGGACCTGTGTCCGCAAAGGGAAAAGCCAGCGGCCCTTTGGGACCCTGATTGGTTCCCTTAGTGGTGTTTCAGGTTCTTCCCGCATTCTACTGCTCACTTTGGGAGCAAGGGAACCGTCTGGAATCCTAGACCACTGGGCCCCGAAAAGACCTGGTTTCCTCCTCCCATGTTAATGAGGAAATGCGCGGTAACCGACATAACCATCCTGCTGGGTCAGAGCCCTGTCGGGGGTCCAGCTCAAACCAAGAGGTGCCGTAAACTCCCATAACTCAGGGGGTGGGGGAGCCTCCTCTCAGGCCTCCCCTCTCCACCACTGCTGCCGCTGGTCCACCCCACTCTCCTGGCAGGTCCTTTCCTTTCCCTTGATTTTTCTTAGAAGAACTGACTCCTCACTTAGACTTTTACTTTTAGAATTTAAAAACCACTCACAGTAAAAAGCCAAGTAGGAAATAAAAGTACAATAAGTATAAAAGCTGCTTGTTTATGAGATGCAGGCCTCATTCTGCTTCCTGGTTCCTATGTTTCTTAAAAAATATCTGTTGGGTGTAAGAAACAAAACCAGTCGTGGGAGCCTGGTGACACGGGTCTACATCACAGGACTGACCAGTGTGTGGTCATTCCCTCATGCCTTTCCTCTCATTTCTGTGCCTCTTGGCTTGTCTGCTTTATTGTCCTCTCTGCAGTCTGAGACCATCTTCTCTCAGGCCCGCGGCTTCTGCTCCTTGCACTGGATAAGTTCCTGCTTCTGGTGCAAGCAGAGAGGGATCCTTGTCCACTGTGGTAACCTTTCCATGTCCCTGCCAACCCACACATGCAGAAGTTCCTGCCCCTTCATTCCACTCACCTTTCAGCAATGACTGTCCAACCTGGTACATCCCCCTGAGCAAAGGGGGCTGTAGCACAAAGGGGGGGGGGGCTGGAGCACAAGACAGACCCAGACCCAGACCCTGGCAACGTGAATCTCAGCACCAGGACTCTGAGGGGACTGCTGGGCCACTGACTTCGCACTGGTATTACTGGGAAAGCTTTGAAAAATGCTGATATCTGGCCTCACCCCAGACCTATTAGACTAGAACCTGGCAAGTCCCCAGAATTTGGTGCCTTATTCTGTAATTCCAGTATGTAGTCAGGGTTCAGAATTACCACCTCCCCGAGAGGGGACGGGATGGCAGGGCTTCCCAGGTAGAGCAGCAAGACCTTCGGAGACACCAGGTCTCTGCTCCTGCTGGCGCCTTCACAGAGCCTCAGGACCCCAACACAGCCGCCCTCAGCTGCCCAGAGGCCTCCCAGGTTCTCCTGGCACCTCTGTCCACTCTGGGCCACTGCTGTCCTCTCCAGGAGACAGGACTGTGCACCACAGTCTCTGGGGACACTATGTCTAGGCCGATGAGCCGTGCAGACAATTGGCAACAAGAACCTTAGGCTTTTCCTAGCCCACCGTGGTTTCCCCCAGACGTCCAGCTAAAACTAGTCTGCGCTTGACTTCACCA